GCTGTATGACGGCGGTCTGTAAATAATCGAGTTTGGACCAGACAATATAGTGATTGATATCATGAACATCGAGCCACGCAATTGGGTTCGATGACATGCATCAACCAAGTCAGCGAGCCTGACCACCAGATCCCGTTAGTCGCCTTACGACAAGCATAGTCGCCTTTTACGGTAAGCATGGGTTGTTGAAGAGCTATTCTTACCCGGATCTTCACGGGTCAAGGTCGAGACGGAATTGCTGACCACATGCGACAACATCTTGACAAACACAGTACAATGTTTCAAATCAATATGTCTGGAGGGAGTGACCACTGACAACACGTGTTGTGGTGAAGCCCATCTTGACCACTGGGTTCCCATGGACATGTTTACCTCACGGACATGTAGTCAATGTGCCATGGTAACGTAAATGGATTATGGTTTATCAAAACCGTCTTCTGCATCCTTCGTCCACTGATATCTATGGGAGCAGTCGGAAAAGCAAAGTCTCCCAAGCTGAACGTTTGGTCAAGAGACACCGTATGGAATAACCTGCAGTTCCACCAGGAGACAACGTTGCTGTTCCCATACCTATGGTAGATCGGGCTAGAGATGTCATAGTTGACAGCGTGAGTGAGTGAGTTGGGTTTAACGCCGCTTTTAACAGTATTCCAGGTATATCGCGGTTTGTCAGCTTAATGTGGGAGGGAAGCCCGGAGTGATGCAGGTCTCAGACGTTTACCACTTGGTGAAACCCACGAGAACAGGTTTGGTGCTGACAAACCTGGAAACATAATCGGGGCGTACCGGGATTCGAACCCACAATCACAGGTTTCTGGCGTGCCCAAGGGACGCAATTCTGCACAGAGAATCGCGGCACCTTAGACGACTGGGCCACCCGTGCCCCCTCATAGTGGACAGAAATAACAGTGATCAATGCATTAATGCAACGAAGACTCCCATTCTTTATGGTACCAGAAACCAATTACTTGGTTTTTATTTGAGATTTACCCTCCGAAACGTCTTACTGAACCAGTAAATCAGTGGTGAACAATGCTTTGTCAGGTGTGGCTGCAGTGATATAAAAAATACCATACATGTAGGTGTCAGTACTTCCAGGCCAAACTTTAAAACTTTAGCTTAAATCGCCACAGGAAATAATCAGTTCAGTGAGTGACAATAAGACAGTGACATGAGTCTGAGTGTAACATATGTGGGTGTAATTAAAAGCTGTGAATGGGTCTTTCTTTTTTCTTTCTTAATTATTCATTATGGAAACTGCTTAGTCATTACATGTAATATCTGGTAATAAATTTCAGTCATTTCATGAAATGACTAGGAAAATGAGTCAGTTCAAGAACTGACTAACCCAACTAATCATTTCACGAAATGGCATATTTCAAGAACTGACTGTAACCAATCCACAAAACATTCAATTGAGAAAATTGTTTCGCTGTGACAAGTCAGTAGAATAAGCAGGGAATATTGGCTTTGGTAGTGCTCGTCAGAATAAAGTTGTGGACTCGATAGTGCAGGCCCAATAGCCAACTTCTACCTGGGATAAATGTTACTGTTGGCATCTTTGCTGTTTAACGCCGTATTCAGCAATATTCCAGCTATATGACGGCGGTCTGTGAATAATCAAGTCTGGTTGATATAAACCAGGGATTGAAATAATGTGCAATGTCGTCGGTGTCGTCGGTGTACGATGACGCGCAATCACCGAGCCTGATCCATTCCGTCGCCTCTTACATCCGGCAGACGTTGGTGGGGACCAAAAGTTAATGTTTGATGTACACAAACCATCATCAACACGAACTGAACAGTGACGTTAATATTTCATGCTTACTGATGTGAATGTCCATTAATGGTCATTGCGTATGTATATATACGTCTGTGTAGCCGTCATGGCTTTTACTATTCTGTTGTCGGATTTATACCCCGAGGTTAAAGGAATGATCAATGTTTGCAAATTTAAAACATCGTTTCGATTTATTAGGCGTACAAACAAGCGTTATGCTTGCCCTTTTCGCGAGCACCTCGTGTCATCACTGATTTTCAGTGATCCATTCACATGGTTTTCACTGCTGATTTGCCTAACACGTCCAATGGAATCTGTTTCGTTGGAAAGTCGGGATTGGAAGCTCTCTGGTGTTGAGGTTTGACATTAACATATCCTTTACATGTCTTTGATTTCTGAGAGTTCTTAGATAGTCTGGGAACTAAGGAACCAACGAGGTATATATCAACGGAGATGATCTGTCATTACAGTATTTCATCTGAACAGTATTGTATATGATTCGGTTAAAACGCGAAAGTGGCCTTTCCTTTGACGCTATTAGTGCGTCTCATCACTGAGACAATCGATTGTATACCGGCGTGTTTCGCCTCAAATTCAATAAGTCAGATTCCAATGTCCCACTGAAACGATCCTAACATAAGTCTTTTATGTCCTTATATATTCCACGGGGGACTTTCATTTTCAAGGACCGGTATCAATATCGTTCTACATGATCTGTACAGGTCCTACAATAATGATCAGTGACATACACTCAGTTAAAAAGATGGGATTAAAGGCATGGGATACAATTAGACTGCCATGTCTTGCCAGGGCATATATAAATAATCATGATCTGAGAACTTGTTCTTTGTGTAGAATCTACACAGGTTTGTGGTGAAGGTAATTAAATCAGCACCAGTACTTGAATGATATTACCTTAGACGGAACAATGAACCAGTAGAAAGTACGAGTATTTCAGTTGATCAGAATGAGCCTGAGATTCTTCCATCCCTAGATAATGAGATTCTTTTAACGTCATTTGGATTCTGAAATTTTGGTTTTGAAGAAAGAAACACATTTGGATTAAGGGAGGGAATTAATGAATGTCAACTCCTTTATTGTGAGGAACACAACGTTTCGGAGTATATGCTTACTCCTTCATTTGGATTCTGACATGCTTTGTTTCTTTTAAACATCTTACATCTGAAGAAATTGACGTGGTGATTTTGACAAATGCAATGGGCATTGAATATGTCTTTGAAGCCAAAATAATGCATTCATCCTCGGTTATAACGAACTTCAAAAGCCAGCGTCATTAAATGGGGAATTCGCTTTACCCGACTTCGAAATGCCGAACTTGACTGTGGTTAACTAATCATGTTGTGTGCGTCGTGTACACACACACACACACACACACACACACACACACACACACACACACACACACACACACACACACACACACACACACACACACACACATGTATATATACACACATATATACTCTTCAAAAAAAGAAACTTGACACTGACTTTCAAAATGTAATATAATGCGATTGTTTCAAGATAGGACACAGAAACCATAATTGAAACACTGTTTGAAGATCAATGTACATAATGTTCAAAACATTAATCGTGTCACCTAGACAGACACACGTACACGATACAGTTAATGTCACAGGGGTACAGAAAATGTCAGTATCGGATGTGCCCACCACGTGCATCAATCATCGCTTGACACCGACGATGCAATCAAGTTGTCAATAACACGCTGTTGGATGTGCTGCCATTCATGCTGAAGTGCATCAAGAAGCGCCGGAAGTGTTTGGGGCGGTGGATTCCTTCTGCGAACGCGTCGATCCAACTCGTCCCACAGATGCTCAATCGGGGACAAATCTGGTGACCGGGCTGGCCAAGGTAATGTCTGGAGTTTGTTGTGCTGTAAGAAGTCCTGACAAACACATGCAATATGCGGTCGAGCGTTGTCCTGCTGGAACTGTCCGCCATGAACGTTGACGTGAGGAAGAACGTAAGGCTGTAGGATCAAGTCTCTGTAACGCACACCTGTCAATGCACCTGCCACATGCACGAGAGGCGTCCTACCACCGTGATGAATTCCGGCCCATACCATGGCACTCCCGCCGCCAAATGGGACAACCTGCTGCACACAGTTGGGGGCGTACCGTTCACCCCGACGTCTGTAGACACGTGCACGGCCATCAGCACGTGTGAGTAGGAAACGGGACTCGTCAGAAAACAGTATATTTCTCCACCTTGCACGTGCCCATCTAACCCTCTGTTGGCACCAAAACAGACGGTCCGCCAGATGACGTGGGGTCAATACATGACGTCGAACAGGTCTTCGTGCAAAAAGTCCAGCCTCCCTCAGTCTGTTGCGTACCGTTTGATCTGATATTCTGGGTACCCAGGGATCTGTGTGGTTGTAGACGTGGCTGTGGTAGTGCGGTCTCGGAGGTGTCGCAGCCGGATGTATCGATCTTGTGCTTGGGTTGTCACCCTTGGTCTTCCTGACCTTGGTCTGTCGTCAACTCTGTTGGTGTTGTTGTATCGGGTCCACAGTGCGGAGATTGTCTGTCTGGATACGCCAAAGTGCCTGGCCACTTCTTGCTGAGTTGCTGCAGCTTTTAATCTTCCAATGGCGTTGTTCCGTTGAGCTGCATTCAGTCTTGGCATACTGTCACCGCCTCTACTGCCGTTATAAGGACTGTATGAACAGCCGTTGATGTTGATTTCTATACCCATTCAGCAGGGGGGCCTGCATGCCTAAATGCAGGATCCTGTGCTGCACGTTTTTTACAGGCGGTTGCGTTTGGATGAAGCTGTAAAATTGATCCCCAAACGCTACGTTTATGTGCTTTGCATGTGTTTTCGCGAATAATAGACACATCATCTTTCTGTTTGACTTATTTGGTTCTTATTTAATGTAATTATTTTAGATATTTGGCAAAAAGTGGTTTTACATCTATGTCAAGTTTCTTTTTTGAAGAGTATACATATATAAAACATGTCATCAGACGGGTTGGTGCCATTGGAAACAACAATTGTCGGAAACAATATGCATGGATATTTTTGTAGTCTAAATACATAAAGTTATGAGAAATAATCCTTTTATTACATGTAGTGAAAATGTTATAATCCATAGTTTTTCGATAAAATTTTCATGTACGTGTAGCTACCAATTCAATACATGGTGAGAAGTAATCGTGACACAAAACATTCGATCATGAATCATATTTATTTGATATCTTTGTTTACATCTTGAGATAATTTGGGTATAATCTTTTGTTATTTGAGATATGTAAAATCCAAATATTGGCCTTTTCCTAGAATTATACAATATAGAATAGGAATCATATATAGAACAAAATACACTGTCCAAATAGCATCTGAATATATATTAAAAATGAAGACAGTTTTATTCTTTTCAAGCATAAACACATTAATAGCGGACATGGGACATGGAAGCTAATATTGAACATAGTATAAACTAATGTGATGTCTTACGAAGTTTGACTGATACAAATAACTTTAAAGGACGATGGTCACGTCGGGATTCCAGGTTAGAATTGGTCCCCGGCAACGTATGGTTGTCGTAGAAGGCGATTAAATGGATCGATTGGTCAGGCTTGGTGACTTGGTTGTCATCGTACCCCAACGGCGCGAGACACTGCACATAATATCATTGACCGGTCTGTCTGCCAGCCTCGATTATTTACAGGCCGCCGTCACATAGCAGGAATATTGATGATTGTAGCGTTAAAAAACAAAGAAAACATAACATGATCACAAAATGTACACGTGAATTGTTCTTCTCAATGCAAGGACAGACGTTGAAGAAATCAAGTGACTTCTATCTACCAAATGAATATAGATAAAGGTTTATTGGTATTTTATGTAGTCGACGCATTTACACAGTTTTTCAACATGCGAGGCAGTTTCAGATGTACCTCATGTCCATTTCAGCAAGTTTTACTTTCGCTTCAGTTTAGTTTCCATCTTTTACACATTTAATAGACGTTTGCCAAATAAGGTATCAAGATGTGAGCACGTTGAGTACATGTATACCGCCATGACAAAAGTCACGACATTCACACTTTTCATGGCTGTCAGCGACACCAGTTTTATGATGAGTTTCGCCACATATTCAAAGTCAAAAGTAAGTGGTCACATACATCTAAATTGATCACTGAAAATGATAATTATGCGATTATTGCTTTTACGGTTTGATCAGTATTCGAAAAACAACAACCGTTTTGCAAAGGAGAACCAGGGACGTTCTTTTGAATACATTAAAGGATCAAAGAGAACGTCAGTCCTGAAATTTCTTTCTGTGGTTTATTTGATTTGATCGATGACAAACGTAAGCATTTCTCCATAACTCGCTTGTGAGAATTTCAGTTATAAATTTCGTGGTGTGAAAAGAATACTGTTTTAAACAAATTATATAAAATCTTCAGCCAAATTTCACACCACAACACTATGCATCTCCAAAGAAAATAACAGAAATAGAGGAAAAAAGTGCTTTTCCCTTTGAGTATGTTTAGCTTTGATTCACGTCAGGGTGAAATGCATATTATCAGCACCTAAAAGTACTGGTATAAGGTTGTGAGGTCCCGCTTCGCCTCGCATTAAATGCATCACCAGTTCTTTTATGTCCTGATAGCATACTACCACCCATCCTCCTTCTGTTATTCATGCATTTCCACATTCCTTGTTGTAGTACAAGGTGAACTTGTGGTTCGATGTCGAGTAGTTCTCTTGGCAAGTATATCCTGCAGTGAGGCCGACATTTGTCGAGGCAGATCCCCCGGTTGACAGTCGGATGACGTAGAAATGCGGTCCTGCACCACTCACGTCATACGTGACGCGATTAGAGCTCTGGACCAGTGGAACAGTGGAGTCGTTAATCTGCTTCCATGGCTCACTGAACACCGTGATGGTTATGTCATCTCCGCTGTCACTCGTTGCCTCGACGAGGATCTCCTTACTCCAGTCTGGGAGATCTATACCAAAAGCCGGACTGGATTCATTGGAGACGGTGATTTGGTCTTTAGTCCGGTTAAGCCTCAGATGGAGCAGGTGGTCTTCCACATCACAAACCTCGATCCCAACCTCTTGGAACGCTCTGACAAAAGGTTCTCCTGGCTGGCCCATGTCATAAGCTGCCTGCATCACATCACACGCTCCGCTGATAAAGTTGGTCATGGGTTGCCAGTACATCTTATTAGCATGGAGGAACACCCGGAAGACTTCTATAGGATTCAGGCCATATTCGTGTGCTAAGAGGTAGAACACCTTATTGTATATACCGCTCGTCGTGTGTGGAGACATTCTGTTTGAAAATTTATCCATGTGGGAAATCGATCTTCCATCCTTCTCAGGGTTGGCAAAGAACCGCATGGGCCGTCTGTACATGATGTCAGCACCAACCTGCCAGTCAGTAGCATTGGTGTACAATTCTGCCATTTCTCCAGCCATGTCCGAAAAGGCTTCGTTGAGTCCTCCTGACTGTCCAATGTAGATGAGACCAGAATGTTGCTCGGTGAAACCATGGGCTATTTCATGGGCAGCAATATCAAGGGAAACTAGTGGGTAGATAAATCTTCGCCTGCCATCACCAAAGGAAACGTTCTGGCCGTTCCAGAAGGCATTCATGACGTTTCGTGAAAAATGAACCCTGAGCGTAAGTCCTCCTCTGATTGGGTCTGTGTCGTACCACTCCTTGAACATCTTTACTATTTGAGTGCCATAGTACAGAGCATCTATAGCAGGTGAATATGCACCATTTATACTGTCATTAAGATTCCCAGCACAATCGAAACGTGCCACCCCCGTTGATCTCTCTATGGCTGAGTTGTTCATGTCAATCACTTTAACATGCTCATTTTCCAAATAACATATTCCATTCTCTTGTCTTAAATCCAAACATCTATGCGTACCATCATAATGGATGATGCCTATTTTCTTATTTCCGCCGATCATTTCTTCATCCTCCCTATCAAAGCAAGTCTCCAAGCTGTCAAAATAGGTCATAACTTCCCGAGTCCTCGTGTCGATGATACCCCTAGGACGTTTCTGAACATCATCAGTCTCAATTAAATATTCAACAATGGCAACATGATGGGCCACATCATGTTCGTCTGTGTATACCTCATACGCGATACTCCTACCTTTTATATCCCCCGTCCTACTTTGGTCACCAGCATAAGCAATCAATATAGCAAACAACTCGTCTTCAGTGATGCTTCCTCTAGACTCGTCAACGTCTTCCTCAATGTTATTAACATAATCTCCAGTAGCATCAACTACCACCCCGGACTCTTCAGTCATGGTCAATGTCACTGATGCGCCAAACACTTCTTGGCCATGGTACCTTTCTTTCATTTTGACCTGTCGAGTTCCTTGCACAGTGTTGGCTTCCTCTGTTTCCTGGAACGATTCCCCACCAGCTAGCTGGAACACCTCCCTCATGTTGCGGGTCCTGGTTGTCTCCGTGTCCCGGGCTGACCTCCTTCTGGTGTACCCTGGTACAACTTCAGGGAGGCCTTCGAGGAGTACCTGCCTTGCATTGACCCTCTTGGCCGCCTCTAAGTGATGGACACATACCAACAACAACACTGCAAGTAAATAAACGATGTTTGAATCAGGTACAGTGTAACACAGTGAAATCTGACGTAACTGATAAAGGACAAGGTATGCCGGGGACCATTTTGGCCAAAATCATTTGCATATTTAAAGAAAGAAACATCATTTGCATATTTTTAAGAAGGAAACATTTAAATACTGTTATAAAAAATACCAGATGTGTAATTACGATGTGATATGTTTCATAATGTGCAGGTTAGAGAGAACAACATGTCACAGATTTTTTTAATAGCATCGAATGACTACGTCTTTAAAAATTTATCTTTGCACACCCTTGTGCCAGACAGTTTAGGTTCATAGCACCGCATGTTTGTAGATAGAGCTGACGTACTAGGACGAGGTAGTTATTATTATATGCCACCTTGCAGACCATGAATATATGGTTATATCACACCAGACAAACCAGTGGTTGAGAGCATGAGCATTGCTCAACGTCGATGAGATACAATGACGCCCGATCAGCCAGATCACACATTGTTTTGGTACCAGCCAATCTGTAATGTAGCCTTCCCTCGAACCCCCAACCACCCCCAACCCCCAACCACCCCCAACCCAAACCCCCTCCATACACCCCCCCCCCCCCCCCCCCCCCACACACACACACACACACACCTCACCCTCCCTCTCCACTGGTGAGAATTCCAGGTTAGAATTGATTTTCAGCAAACCCTTGAGACGACCAAATGGATCGGGTGGTAAGTCTCGTACACAGATTGCGTGCATGATTGCTAACAATTTCAATCAGTGGAATATCTGGTCCAGCCTCGATTATGTACATGCCATGATCATATGGTTGGAATGCGAGTTCGCTTTACTCTTCACAAACACAAATCACATAAAATCCCTTAAGTTTTGTCTCTTACCACAAACTATTCTGACACGACCCCCCCCCCCCCCCCCCCCCCCCCGCTCGGTTACAGATAACTAAACTTCACATATTTTTGGCTTGTAATTATTAAAGTGAAATGTTGCTAAAGGCATATCCATTTACAGCTTAACCAAAGAGGAAAGAAACTGTATTCCGGGACAAAGTAATTAAGTCCACCAGCAAGGTTCAGTAAGATATGAAACATTTTATGAACGCACCATCAGCTAAACATTCTCAACGTGCATTCCAGTCTTGCTTGTTAAATCAAACATTGTGACATAACAACACTAGTAGCTTTTAAAATAAGACGATAAATAGAATTTGTCCACGCGCCGTCACACACCAGAGTGAACAGATAGCAAAATCGCTAGTAATTATCTTGAAAGCTCGGTGGAGGTAACGATCCACACCTACAATCCCTACTGCAACCAGTCTGTGTAAGCAATCTGTTAACATTGCAGACTTCGTGGCATGGGCGCAGATTCTATGCCAATATATAAACCCCCTGATTAAAAGGATGGAAGTGTTGTCAAAACACAACCGAGGGCTAAAGATATTACATGTCGTTCAATCACCGTTACAGATCAAATTAGGATGCTGGTAATAGCTTTATAACCACAAGACTTCATTTCAGACCAGCAAATTGGGGACAAACTTAAAATCGATTGAACAAACACTACTTCTCACTGTATATTTATCGTCTTAAGCCGTCTCTAAGAAGACAAAATCGATAAAATAAGTGCCCATTCACGACATCTCCGATAATGAATTTTCACAACCCGTCTACATTGATACACAGTGAAGGCAATAAAGGGGGAAATGGTATGAAATATGAAGTAAGATTGTAAATTGAGGTTCTGAAATTGAATCAGGTTACCTGAACTGTTTGAATTAGGCGTTGTGCACGAGATCTATCAGGTGTTATTTCTTGATATTTTAATTTTGAAGCTAGATTGGCTTTGAAATTGTTAATTTGACAACCGTCACGCGAGGCATCGTTACAGGAACACGTTCCAGTTTCATAACGTGCGTAAAAGACCTTGTTTGCATGGGCATTCGCAAGTAAAGATAAACAGAATCGGCGTGAACACTATTATACACTCGTCTGGTAATTTTGATACAAACAAAAAGCTTGATTTAAACTGAAAAGAATCCCCAATAAGATAGGAGACACCTGAATATGTGGAAAATCTAGACTTGCTACATTTTGATGGTTGCATTACTGTAAGGGCTGAGCGGAAGGGGAATAATATGGTTCAGGGACTGTGAGACAGAATGCACGTTTGGGAACAGAAGGTGCCCAACGAAAGCATCCATATCACAGTGAACAGGGGACTGAGGTGGTGTGTGGCGCAGTGAACGTGGATGGCATGACACACACACACACACACACACACACACACACACACACACACATATAACATGCAGGGTTTTGAGCTGTGGTGAGTCTGTTCAGCAGAAGGGTGTGTAAATAGTCCTTCGCGTCAGCGTGTGCATCATCATCACATAATATTTATGATGAACAAGAGTTAATGCTTCACTATTTATCAGTATTATGAAATAAAGTTAAATGCATGACATTAGCGAGGGATAAATGTTCATTGCATGTATATGAAGGTCAAAGTAGTAGATATTTCATTAACTATTCATTTGACGGATTTATTCACGACGTTGTAGGAAACATTAATGTTAACATATCCCTTACATTAATAATACTTATACAAGTATACTGTTGACTGCGTCAATGAAGAAGATGTATTTCCAAAATTGAAGAAAACCCAACCTTTTTTTTACACATCCCTGAGTTCTGAGTTTTGTGAGCTAACGAACCAACGGAGTATATATTAACGGAGAATCTCTGGCTGGAGACATAAGATTATTTCGTCAATGCACTTTTGTATAGGATTTGGTTTAAAAGCATTTCCGCCGAAATCGCGAAACTGGCTTTCACTTTGACTCTTCATTGAGACTATCGATTGTACACCGACATGATTCGCCTGACATTCAATAAGTTAGTTCCAATGTCCCACTGAAACGATCCACACACCGAACAGTATTTTTTTATTCCTAGTCTACCCTAAAGTGGAGACACGAGGGACTTTCTTTTCACAAATGATAGCATTAATGTTTTTGAACATTGGGGAATTTCGATATTTTCTATTGGAACAACTTAATATCTCATCAAAAGGAAAAAAAGTATCTTATTAGATGTTATTGATTTTAGATTAAATGTGTATTTCTATCATTCTGGTGGGCCCGAGTAGACAGATTGCTCGGTCCACGACAATTCTAGGCAGTGTAAGTTTTTAGGTAGCTAGTAAAGAAACGGATTCCTGGCAAAAAGCAGCGATTACCAGGAATAAACAATAAATAGGGGAGGACATATTATTGACCCAGTGTTTAGACATTAGAATACATGCAATATGTTTCCCCCTCATTTATCACAGATACTCCACGTAATATGAGTTCCCTTACAGTGAATGATTGAGTGCGTGAGCAAGTGAGTTTGGTTGAACACCACTTTGGACAATATTTCAGTTCCATCACGGCGTGATCGTGGGACCGCTGCATCAGCTATGTTTTCAGAACTAGTAAATGTGTGAGTGTTGCAATATTCCAGGGAAACCATGGTGACACAATTATAGCGAGTCTGGGCCAGTGGTTGATATCAAGAGCAACGATTCATGATGATTTCGTGTTCGATAACACACTCATCCAGGGTATTGTTTGTTTGTTGTTTAACACCGCAGGTAAAAATATTCAAGCTGTAAATATTCGAGTCTGGATCAGACAATCCAATGATTGACATCATGAGCATCGACCCAAGCAATTGGGATACGATGTCATGCATCACCCAAGTCAAGCGAGCCGGATCACCCGATCCCGTTAGTCGCCTCTTACGACAAGCATGAGTTGTTGAAGACCTATTCTAACCAGGATCTTTACGGGTCGGCACACGTTAGCTCTTATCGGGTAATGGGGATCTATTCTGCCACGAATGTCCTGCCGTGGTTTCCCAAATAGCTTACACGTAAAAGACTCACGCGTATGCACAACACAGCCGCTGGCTTAGAGGTTATTTAAAAGGTTGTTTGGCGCATCGTGTTATATCTCATATTCCAAAAAATAATGACGTTACCGATTTGTAAATCCCAATATAGCAACGATATTTTTTATGATGTGTAAATAACTTATTTTAGATTAAGTATAGTGATTATGGTGAAGATCCTCTGAAGATCGTTCCAGGCAGATTTGATTGCATTCCAGGTTAGGTTAATGTGCTTCTCTGAGCATATAGTAACATACATGTAGCCGAGCATATAGGAACATAGTAGAGCATACATGAACATAGTTGAGCATATAGGAACGCAGTTGGGGACATAGGAACATAGTTGAGCATATAGGAACACAGATTGGCATATAGGAACATAGTTGAACATATAGGAACATACGAGGGGCGTTCAATAAGTTTTGTAACTTCAATACTAACCACGCTTCTGTGGCAACCTTTATATCCCTGTCATCCTGGAAGCGTCTCTCAACGTAGGGCAGATTTCATTTGCCGGAACAGGAAACAGTCATTGGGGGCTAAGTCTGGGCTGTAGGGTGGGTGATTTAACTGCGATTTCTATAAAAGTGGTATTAAAAGTTTGGAGGACAAATGGAATAAGTGTATTGAGGTGAATGGAGATTGTATTGAAAAATAAAAGTGCAAAAAATATTCTGCGACTTGGTCTAATATTGAAGCTACAAAACTTATTGAACGCCCCTCGTAGTTGAGCATATACGAACATAGTTGAACATGAAGAGACATAGTTGAGCATATGGGAACATAGTTGAGCAAACTGCAGCATATAGGAACATAGTTGAGCACAGGGTGCACCGAGTGAACAGGATCATTATAGAGACTAGGGGTGTAAAGTGGAGCATGGTAGAGGATAGTGGTGCATAGTGGCGCATAGTGGAGCATTTAGTGAATAGAGCTGCAGAGTGGAGGACTGTAGAGGATAGCTATGCATAGTGGAGCATAGTAGAGGTTAATGGTGCATAGCGGAGAAGAGTAGAGGAAAGTGGTGCTAAGCGGAGTATAGGGTAGTGGTGGAA